CTGCTCATTTGCTAACTGGAGCACTTAAAAGGGAGCATTTCACAACTATTCTGGCTTCCCTTCACTGACTGCCTGTGCATTTTAGAGTTTGTTTTAAAGTTATTTTATTTGTTTTTAAATCTTTACATGGCCTTGCCCCATCTTACCTCTCTGGGCTTCTCCACCCCTATGCCCCTGCACGGTATCTCCGGTCAGCCGATCAGTTGCACCTTAAAATACCCAGGACAAAGCGAACCCATAGAGGGGATTGAGCATTTTCAGTTGTTGCTCCAAAGCTCTGGAATGAACTACCCCTACATGTCAAACAGTACAACCTTGTTGACTGTTTTTAAAACTAATCTTAAAACTTATTATTATTCACTGGCTTTTAACACAGTTGGAGACCTTGGTCTGTTTTAGCTGTTTTTTGCTTGTTTTTAGTGTTGATTTGTTTTATTGTTTTTGGCCCCTCGTGTACAGCACTTTCTGTCAGCGGCCGCTGTTTTAAAGCGCTTTATAAATAAAGTTGATTTGATTTGATAATTAAGTTAAATAACAAAAAAGAAATGAGTGCAATCTTTTCTTTAAAGGTTTATAAAATAGAATCTGCATGAAGTACTATGAAATGACCACGATCAGAAATAATTTTGGTCTTAGTCCTGCTCAGATTAACTCTACCAATCCAGTCAGACTTAAACTGTAGTTGTCCAATCTGAGTTTGCTGAACAATCTATCTGCAGCAGGTAGGATATTGAGTGTTCACAACTTTTCCACAAGACCCAACATTAACAGATGTGAACTGTCACTTTAAGAGGCTGCTATTAAATCTACTTTGAACGTGTAATCAGGGCATACAGTTTAAACCACGTGTGGGTGTTTTTACCTAAATGAGTGGATGTAAAAAAATGTGGAAATTTAAAGGAGCCTAAATGAGACGTTTGATTGGAWGAGGCGGTGATGTGGGAGGATCTTTTTTTTTCATTACTTTGTTCACTTCTCACTAAACACAGAAGCTGTAGTTGGGCGAGAAGAGAGAGAGGAGCATGGATTCTGTGGCTTTCATTGCTACAGATCACACACCTGAGACCTGTACAGTGTGTGCATATGTGTAAGATACAGTGTGTTTTATTTTTCACAAACTACACTTCTGCATGTGTGCATTGGTGTGTGTGTGTGTGTGTTTTTCCCCAGACATAAAACCAACAAGCTGAAGTCTATCTGCTGGTTAAGAAGTCAGATCTCCATTATTTTCCCTTCAATTCAGCACAATAAGCTTTTTTAGAGGCTGTTTATCTCCTCGGTCAATATTATTCAGAAAAATCAGGTTAGGATCACATTAGTCCAGGCACACACCGATGCCTGTTGTGAAGAGCAAAGTGAGATGAACATCTGCACATTTGGCTCACCTGCGTCAGTGTTGTTGTGGATCTGCATGCACCGCGGACGCGGGCTTATCTCCCGGTGTTTGTGTGCATAGGAGAAAAGGAAAGTAATATGAATGAGAAAGAAGGATAGGTGCAAAGAAGCTGCTTATGCATTTTAATGTGCCTGTCTGCTAATCTGGGTTCTTATCTGCCTTATCCATCCATCCGTCTGTATTTGTCTAATGAATCAAATTTTGCAGCTCGCTGTTTGCCGTCTGAACTGCTGGAGCAAGTCCTTGCATGTCTATTTTTTGTGTTCATATGTACCTGGATGACATGGAAGACAAAACTGGCAAGGAGGAAGAAGCAGGCAGAGTTAGGAAGAGTCAGTCAGAAAAAGAGAACAGAGTTAATTTCGGGCAAGGACACACTTTTTTTGAGCTCTTGTGTACCAGTAGTGTTGGATTTAAAAAATATATGTGCAGCCACAAGATAATAAGACATRGCTACAAGATAGTAATTGCATGGCCACAAAAGAATAAGTTGTGGCTACGAGATAAATGATGCATGGCCACGAGACAATAAGTCATGGCCATAAGATGAGCTTTTATTGTGTGGCCCCAAAATAATTTGTTGAGGCTACAAAATAGTGCATGGTCACAAGATTATATWTTGTGGCTATGAGATAGTTAAAGTGTGGCTTTGAGATAACTCATGGACACACGATAGCATGTCCTGGCTACGGGAGGGTTCATGCGTGATCACAAGATACTCACTGCAGTCGTTCCCACGCAGATTGCTGATTCTTAAGGCGACATTTTAAACTAGAAGCACTCGGAGAGTGCAAACCTCCGCCAAGTCTAATTTCCCCCAAACACATTTGCCAAATCAGTTCAGACGTAGCGAACATTTAAGCAGGCAGTATGCACGGGATTTCTTCCCAGTGGAGTCCAATGTGGGAAAAAAGGAAAAAAGTCAGACTCGTCGCCCGACGTTATTGTTGAAAGCTTTCACATCGGTACTACATGATTCAAAAAAGCAGAGATTTCATTGCGCGTGTAATCACACAGACACACACGTAACTTCCTATCTTTGTGAGGAATACACACAGCGGTCACAACCACGCTTTGCGCATTCTTTTTTCCCCGAAGTTTGGCGAGAGGTGGATAGAGGGGCGCACAAATAGCTCTCAACTTGATCTGGCCTCATTTMAATAATAATAAAAATGAACAAACAAACAAACAAACAAACAACCTCCGAGTCTGATGTCCACCATGTCACTCCTCTTCCTCAATCTTCATCGATCTGTGTACAAGCCTACCGACAATGTGGTGTGTTTGAGGAAATGGGAAAAATAGGTTTCATGGTGCAGTCACGCACTTCCTGGTCACAAAACGTTCTGTAAATGTGCACCAAATGCGTAAAAAATGTGCACATTACAGCAAGAATGATTCATCATTATATCTGGTTTTAGCATTACTTTTATAAAGTTTGAAGTCCAAACACTGAAAGCTGTCACAGTTTTTTTTCAGAAGCCCTGTGAAAGCATCACAGCTTTGCCGATCTGAGAGGATTAAAAGAAAAAAAATTCCTGTATCTGCATCGTGATCCAGAACACCACCAAAATTTAAATGTGTGTTACTTGTGCCAGTATCCACATGTGKTGTAAATATCTTGACAATCCGTCCACAAGTTTTTGAGCAACGTTGTCCACAGACAGACAGACAGACAGACGGAGAGACGGACGGACGGACGGACAGACGGACAGACGGACGGACGGACAGACGGACAGACGGACGGACGGACAGACGGACAGACGGACAGACGGACGGACAGACGGACGGACAGACGGACGGACGGACGGACGGACGGACGGACGGACGGACAGACAGACGAGACCGAAAAAATTACCTCCTTGGCGGAGGTAATTATGGAGAACAAACTCCACACAGAAAGACCTAACCAGGAATTGAGCCCAAAACCTTCTTGCTGTGAGGCATCAGTGCTAACCACTGAGCCACCATGCTGCCAAAAGCAATAAGACTTTCTTTTGTTTTTCCCGATTCTGTACTTTTATATTTGTGGAACTGTATTAGTGATTAGGCCACTCTGTATGTGTGCATCTAACTTTAAAAGTGAGCTGATTGTGCTCTGTGGTTTTCGTCTGAGCAGATGTGATGGATGGCGAGCTGYGAGTCTCCCAGTGCAGGATAGAAACCCACCTTCCTCTGCACGCCTGCAGCTGAGCTGCAGTGGTCAAGAAGGATAGCATTTAAGGGAAGGGGAGGTGCTGAGGGGAGCAGGAAGGGATGATGGAGTGAATGGGAGATGCGAGGGACAGGCCAGCATGAGCGAGCGAGGAAGAAATTAGATACCTGCCTGCCTCATTTGTGAACGCATCATTTTTCTTATTTTCGGGATTTGTTAGGCTGCCAGACAAACACTCGTTGGAGCACAACAAGTGATGCGCCTCTCCGAATTGTGTGGGTCTGAGTAGATTGAGAGTGCAGCAGCTGTCGATAGATGCATGGCCCAGTCAACTTCTCGTGAGGCGGGGGGAGTCTGAGGAGGAGGAGGAGGAGAGAAAACAAACAAATGCATCTCATTATTGCAGCRTGCGCCTCTGCAGTGCTCTGGGTAACCCATCACAGTCCACGCAGATTCAATTGCTTCTTTTAAATCAGTTTGAAGCTGCAGCCACATCTCATCTGTCTCAATAGCAGAGCAGAGGCCTCGCATGCGACTCTGCACACTGCAACAGCTCCTCCTAGTGGGTGGGGGAAGGAAAGGAGCCCGCCGCCGGTGGCTGCTGTGGTCAAGTCGAGGGGTCCAGACGGTTCAGCTCGGCTGTTTTTACTTCCCACCTCCTGTTCTATCCACTCCAAGCTTGTTCTTGTTCACTTTTTTCCTTCCTCCCCCTGCCTGCGTGTTTTCGTGCCTCTCTCAGACGCACGTGTCATTCCTGCAACTCCTTGTTCCCTTTTTCTCAACTCAGGCAGCCTTTGCATTTGATCTCTGATAAAAGGAAAATAAAACAACCATCTCTGCAGCCATAGTTTCTAATTCTACACCCACTCACACTCAAGTTGGCACAATAGACTGCCGGTTTTCTTTAACGTAGCTGTGTGATATAAGAGTTTTGGTGGAGACTGAAAGACTTTGCAGCCTCTCTTTGATAATTAGGCAGTGGCAGATTTCTCGATTCGCTGCCAAACAATCTATTCCCTTGTGGTCAAAGAAGCAAAGATGCTGTTGTTGATTTTTTTAATGTTTTTTTTTTCTTCTTTTTTCTGGAATCCCTATTCATGGTCAGATAAAAGGGTTGTAGTGTAGACTAGCAGAGGAGAAGTGAAGACTGCTTTGATCAGTTCAGAACCAAGATTTAGCTCGGGGGGTTGATCTGAAGAAGGGGAGGGGGTGTTGGTGTTTCTTTTCCACTGATAGATTAGTAACAGATCAGCTGTATCTGAGCTTCATCTCTGCATTCTGTTTCTTGTTCACCTGTCATATTCAAACACGTCCGTATCGATCACTCCAAAAGTTGTAGGCGTCGGAGTCTGAGTCACTCCCGGTTGTTCCGATTGTGTTATCAAATTAGTTTCCTTGTTTTTTTTTTTCAAAATCTGACTGTAACTCAGCTGTTTCTTCTTCTCAAAGTTCCGCCGTCTGAGCCGTACTTCATCGTGGACACAGCAACACACTGGGTGGCGGGGAGGCAGTACGACGTCGCCTGCGTCGCCCCCGACGCGAAGCCGCCGGCCGAAGTCAAGCTGTACAAAGGTGAGCAGCCGTTTTCTTCTGCTTTCAAGCTGAATAGAAAAGAAATATAAATTTTTAAAAAAGATGGGTGTTTTGAGGTTATTTGATATTCCATATTGTGGAATCTCCATAGGCCATGAGCTGAATTTTTAAACATAAAAAAACAACCTGGCAGTTAGAGTGAAAAAGACGTCTCCTTCTTCTTTTTTTCTACTTCCTGATTAGCAGAGTTGAAAAGGGGGGAGCCAGACTCGGTGTGGGAGGAAATAGCCTGAGCATTTTAAATTTTCAATTTCCTCTGACTTCACAATTACTCGCACAGAGGTGTATGTCACAAGCTGCTACTCGTTCTCATAAACAACCACACGCCAGAGYGCATTCTGCTGAAGCAGAGGAAAAGACGCGCTCGCTTTGTTTTCTTGGGATGAGCGCGGCTAAAGGGGCTACACTGTTGGTCAAAGGTGGAAGATTTTTTATATACATGTTTGATATATTTCATCACTGATTGGCACAGCACTGAGTGGTGTTGTAGGGTGTCATATCGTATTCTACCACACACCTTTAAGCGTGTTTACACAGTTTCACATTTTCCGTTGCAGTGAGAATAACTCTGATGCTTCTGATTTGTATGAGCACATTTACCCCCCCCCCTCCACTTCTTGTGCATCCTCTCCCCCCATTGTGTCTTTTCAGATGGAGTCGAGCTGACAGGTGCGGCGTCTTTTACCACGTCTGGCTCAAAGGATAAGCTTCAGAACACGCACGCCCAAGTAACGTATGTGTTCAACCACCTGCCAGACTCGCTCTGCTCACCAAGTCTGCCTCGCTTCCTTGTTTCCCCCACCACAACCCCTGTTTTTCAAAGTGTTCCTATTTTTCCGCCTCTGTCTTGGTGGATACAGTGGATTTCGACACCCAGTGATCTGTTACTTGGCRTTGGCGCGATTGAATTAGCTTCTGTCAAACGCGGGGAAAATTGCATCGCGGCAGCGAGACAGATCCGACGCTCGCTGGTTCACCAGGTGCCTATACATTAAAGCGGGAGCATAGATTGCTTTAATCCTGCGTGTCTCCTCTGTGTCAGAGATAATAACCTCTTGTCATATTCTGAGATAACATTGGTTCAGAGGAAACTGCGCTATTGTTCGGCTCTCCTGCTTTGGAGCCAAGTTCTTAAGCAATATTGATGTTCCTTCTTCAAAATCACACTGAGCGCGCACAGCAGTGGGCCTTGTATAATTTTTTACAGTTGTCACTGCGCTGTAATTTCATGTGGAAGAAATGTAAACAGCACAAAAATAACTCTGCGGTGCATTTCTTCTGTCACAATCACATCGTGCCTTTTTTTCCCCCTCTCTCTTTTGATGTATTAACTTAATCCTTTTGTAAGTGGCTTGTTTCAGCCATGTAAAGTAAACAAGTATGTTTATTTAAAGGTTGCGTTTGAGGTTTTTCTTCTCTTCTTTGCCGTGTTGTACAGTGTAGAAGAGGTGAGCAGAGTTTACAAAGTTTTTACCAAACTCAAACGTAGGCTAGTTCAGACAAAAGCATCAGCAGACCTGTCGTCACGTTGTTCTGAGAGAGAACTCTGTGGTTCACACTGCAGGTAAATCTCACCCAAATCTAATTTCTTTTGCCCTTTTGTGACCCATATCAGATTTATTCATGACAGTACAAGGTACTGAATTGGATACATATCTGATGTTTTTCAAAGCAACTGCAGTCCAAGGATTAACTAGACATGGGTTTTTACGATGAAAAAACAAGTGTGCATTGCCATGTAGCATGTCATTGCAGCATGGCTTTGCCTGCAGCAATGGACTTTGACCAAGTTCAAATGTGTTTTCTATACCAGCTTGTGCCTGCCACATCAGCAGGTGTTTGTAATTAAGGTAATTGTGTGACAATATGAAGTTTGAAGAGATTTTTTTGTTAAAGTTGCATTAGCTGGGTTTTGAACACTGATCTCCCACATGAAAGTCCATGACTTAGACCATAAGACCAATGGAGCTATGGCAGAAGATGGTGACAGGGGTTGGTTTGTATGTGTGCAGAAAGAGGCCACATTGCCAATACAATGATTGACACAAAATGCATAATATTACAACAATCAAGCATTATTAAGACAATATTATCGTAAAGCATCAAAATACAATCATATTAYAGTAGTATTGGAAACGCTGAACTATTGAGATTAAATATTAAAAAACTATGGTGCAGTACCAAGTTGAGTACAGCATGGGGCAGTATTGGACCAATACAAGGCTCCATTGACTGGCATTATAATTCATTAAACATTAATATTTCATAAACTATAAGTTTTACAGGCACCAAAAGGCCATAATTGCCATAATTTGGCACAGGAGCTTTACAGATATAAATTACAAAGGCAGCTCTAGGAAAAAGTAAGCAGGAGGAGAAGCATGGCAAAGTTGAGATGACTTGGATGGGAAATGAATCACAGTAGTGTGCATTGCATTGGCAAGGCACACTGATTATGAAACTAACCTGGAGTCATGCTTTTTAGATCTTGTAACCCCACTCATCTTTCAAAGTTCAGTTGCTTCAATGTTTTTATTTTCATTTGCCACAACTGAGAATCCACAGCAACAGATGATACTAAAGTTTGTGTGACGATCTATGCTGAAGTTAGTTTCACTTTCACTTTATGATACGCATACTAAAATGTGTAGCATCCATTTTTACTTCTGTAAACAGCGTGCTGAAGGAAACACATTTGTACAGATTGTCCATAAATTACACAGATTTGGAGCCATTTATAAACTCATAGAGAAAAACTCACAAAGTTTTTCAGAAACTTTGCTTCAAATTGATTGAAGTCTCACAGCCGGCCACCCTCTTGTCTTMCGTCCCTCTCCTGCCACAGACGCTGGTATCTCCACTCTCACGTCCTCTCCCTGCCCCCAACAGTCCACTCCACCCCTTACAGTTGGATCATTTCAGTTCTACAGTCTTTTGTGAAAATTACAAATTTCCGAGTATCAAGATGCAGGTAAATGTCAGAAAGGCAGAGGGTTATAGTAACTAAGTACATTTACTTTGCTGCAGTATACTTAAGTAGTTTTTTTTTTGAGGATTTGTAATTACACCAATTATTTTAAATAGCTACTTTTCCTTTTATTTTGTTACATTTTATAGCTAAAAATTGCCACTATCTGTGTGGTTTTGCTTTCATTTTCTAGTGTTTCTCTGTTCCCTGTGTATCTCTTCCCAGCTGTCTTGCCTCCAGCCCCGCCCACGCTCACCTGTTTCCTCTTGTGTCTCCCCAGGTGTTTCCCGTTGTCCCTCATTAGTTCACCTTTATATTCTGTGTCCTGTCTCTAGTGTTTGTCAGTTCATTGTGCTGTTTCCCTCAGCCTGTGTGAGCTCCTTGTAGTCCTGAGTTTTTTGTAAATTTTGGAGCTGTTTGCCAGCCTTTTGAGTTTATTATTAAACCTTTTTTGCCATTTGGATTTTTGCTGGCGCCRTGGGTTTTTCTCTGCCAGAATCTCACAAAAATTATACTTTTACCTCTTTACTTTAAAATGTAACACCTAGCTACTTATTACAAAATGTTAGAATATATGCTAGAACTCATCACGAAAAAATGTTTCTGCACTCTAAAAAATAAAGTGTTTAACTTACTAACAAAATCATGTTAATTGGTCCCACTAAGCCTAATGGAGTAAATAGATCAAAGAATATACACATATTGCTCAATTTACTCAACCTGGCTTAGTGGAACCAATTCGGTTCAGTAAATTCAACAATTTTTCTTAGAGAGTGTGTAAAAGTACTTTTTTGTGAGCAGTTTTATAACTTTTACTTGAGTAGTTTTGTCATCAGTGAAATTTATTTTTACCAAAGTCATTTTCTGTTCATGTAATTTTACTTTTACTTAGTTTTTTTTTTCAAGTACTTTGCAGACTTCTGCCGAAGGGGTTGCCATGTTTGCTTACGTCACTACTTCTTCTGCGTCTGTGGCTCGCACTGACACCATGGAGACTTCACACAGGAGTCTGAGGTCACTTTGAAAATATAATGTGAACATCCACATTAAAAATAAACTGATTTGRGCAAAATATCAGACCAGCAGTGTGAACACAGAGGAATGAATGCTCTCAATCAGAGCTGTTAAAGCTTTTGAGACGGATATTTAACGACAGGTCTGAGCAACTTCTCAGTAATTCTTTTCTAAAAGAAAAAAATTTGTTTAACAGTATCTTTTTTTTAATTACAGGTGTTCTTTCCTAACTTGTGGCCATCACCATGAAACTAACTTGTATAACAACTGCCTAGTGGCTGGATTAATTGGCCTCAGACAGATAATGATTCGCTGCCTGAACTCTGCACGCACGGCCCGGCCAGCTTCTTGTTAAGCACCGAACATTCGCCTGTTCAAAAAACTATTTGAATTTTTCAACACGGTGCAAAAATAGAAAATAGGTTTATTAAATTATCACACTTTTCTTCTCTGTATTCACCTCAAATTTTGATTYATTGTGTTACCAGTGCTGCAGTTGCACAGAGAGAAAATGAGTTTAATGTTGTCACCTACAAAAGCAAATATAACAAAGAGAAATAAAACGAATCAGTCAAGGCTGCCGCTTAGTGAGCAATTTGCTTATGCTTAATATTGATTTGTCACTGGTTTGGAAAATTGCAATCTTGATTCTACATCTGAAAACTGCTGTTCTAAGTGTAATAATATTGTTTTAGATTGGCAAATCAAGTTGGCCTGACTTTTTAAGTGTGTGTGTATATATGGGAAAAAAGATAAAGTGAACTCTTCTGTCATAGAATGATTGAATGACGTTTGTCTTCAAACCAGAGGGATCTCAGAGGAGGAGTTCAGAACAGGAGTAAYATCAGAATTTTTTTAAATAAACTAATGAAATGTAAACATTGAAACAGTAATACAATAAATGTAGAGGGTTGTTAGTTTTAGAAACCCTAAAAGTTTTCTGAGGATATACTGTACTGACCTACAAAACAACCTAATGCCCTCGTTGACCTTTTTACTAACCCACGTGCTAGTATTTCACAATGCATTGCACCATTTCCATTTGTGTCTCAATTCAGGGGCTGCGTCGTTCGAAGTGCACATTTTTAGTCTGGTTACATCACCACCCCACACTGATGGGCTCCTTCTCATGCGACTGACAAATGYGGTTCACAAAACCCCGAAAACGAAGGCTGCATCTGATTATCCTCACAGCGGACGATAGCAGGTGTCGTCGTGCCGTCATCCATTTTCACAGAAAAAAGAATATGGTGGAGTTTGGAAAGTCGTCACAGACCAAATTGTTTAGCTACTCAGCTGATTAAATTCATACCGCGATGTGATGTTAAATAACTTAATTATAAGTAGGTAAACCAAAATTGTAAATGTCATTCATCTATTTACATGTACAATTTTTAGAAATACATTGATTTTTGGGAAGTTATACCCAACTTGTAGCCTGGCCCTTGCCTTCCTACGCAGCTCCGCTCAATTCTAGTTTCCCTTCTCTGCTCTGTCTGGGATTTCTCCCACAGACAAGGATTTTACTGGCAGATTTTTAGCCGAATCAATCAGAGAACAGAACGTTGATTTTCTGCGCAGTGTCTGCTTATTGTTTATTTTACCTGGGCCAATCAGCAAACAGAAGGCGGAGTTTTGAACAACGTTGACTTTCTGTGCAGTGTCTGCTAGTTAGTTTAGCACACGGCAGTGGAGGAAGTGAATGAAGCCAGTCTGTGCTGATAAGGCTTCCAAATTAAAAAAAATTTGTCCGACAAAGCAGCAGCTCTCATTTACAGCCGTCTCGTTTGGCTCGGTACTTCTCTCCTCTCAGTAGGGTTGTTTAAAGCGCACGCGATTTCTGGTTAGCTTCTTAGCTTAGCCTCCTTCACAGCGACACACACACTTCAACAGAGGCCACGCCTCCTGCAAGAATCGCTTCTCTATAGCCGCGAGTCCAGACCCTCGTACAAAGCAAAGCGAAGGACAAGGGTCTGTTTTTTTGGCTACCTCCCTTGAAAAGATGCATGAAAACATATGCATTTGAAGTTTTAGGCGTTTATGTGTGATATAATATAAAACATAACACAATGGTCACATGGTAGTGCATGGTCACACAAACGTACATCCAAACACTAAACTATCTCAAGTCTCAAGTAGTTTTATTGTCATTTCTGCATATGTACAAAACATACATAGGACTGAAATTACAGCACTCTCCTACCCAAATTTACAGCAAAATATAAACATTAAAAAAACAATGTAACAACTGGGATATATAACTCATTTCACAGCTGTTTTTTTTTCAGCTTACCTGGACTTTGAGAGGTGTGGTCTCCATGGACCACGGTCTAAATGTTCTGCAACCTCTGAATTGGGACACAACTTAGTCCGCTATTGGTGATGGTCAGAGGACTCACTGGTATCGGTACATGACAACCTCACCTCTGTCAGTCTGTTCAGCTCTACRGTGTAGCTTAYCACCATCAGTGTGAGGATGTGTGAATGGCTGTAGTGTGAAGAGCTTTAGAGTCCTTGGACTTTATATAAAGCGCTATACAATTTCAGGCCATTTACCATTATTCTGTGTTTCAGATGTGCTCTGCTGTTATTCCAACATCAGGCAACATTGAACTTTGAGGGCATTTTACTATCACAACATAAAATACCAAAACTAATTCAATAATACATTTGTATRTAAAAGTCAGTAGAAAAGCAGGTACAAAGCACCAAAAGACTGTATTTGAACACCAACCTTGAATTGTGGAAATACCTGTAAATGTACTGGGAAACATGTTATCTGATTTTAATGTCAATAGGACCAGAAAATCTAATCTGAAAAGGAGAAAACCTACTCTACGCAGGCTATGACCCACTGTAAAACAGTATACTTTCATATCTGTCATTTCTGAGACTCCTGTAGAATGATCTTTAATAATAACAGTTCCCCCCAAGAAAAGCAGGGTCTCCTAGTGGGGTCGTCATCATCTTCAAATACGTGGTCCTCACCCTGATGAAGCTGGTTGTTTTGATGKKTTTTTTTCTTCTTCTTCTAACAATTCTGCACAAGCTCTCAGTTGGAAGACCAGGCCCATTCCTTTCCAGTCAGTCGAGATATGACCCGATTATCAGACATGACAAGCAGCGAAGGAGGATTTTTCCTCCCACTTGATGGGAAAGCATTTGTCACCTGATGGAAGTGTCACTTTAAATCAGGGACGAGCTGTCAGAGCGATCTAAATTCAAACGCTGACAGCATAAATGTACGACAGAGAAATAAAAAATAACAAGAATTCACCTGCACAATATTGCACAGCCTGCGATATATCGACTCAACAGATTCAATTATTTTATTTGTTAATTTATGACGACACAGAGATCTAGGCATCACGATCCAGTCCAAGTCATAAAACTAACTGTAAACACTMCCAGARGTTGGAAATCTGACTCGRAAAGTTGGAGGTTCTTCACCAGTCTCAACCTGAAAATCCAATAYGGCTGACTTGTGCATAAAAAGATGTGACGATGACAATAAACATTTTATTGTCTCTTCTCTCAGGTGGTATCTCTACGGAAGAGGATTAGGGCCACTGAAAAAATAAATAAAAGGAATTCTGACTTTTTTCTCAGAATTTGGGACTTTTTCTCATAATTCTGAGAAAAAAAGTCAAAATCTGAGAAAAAAGTCAAAATCTGAGAAAAAAGTCAGAATTCCTTTTTTAATTTTTTTTCAGTGGCCCTAATCCTCTTCCGTACTATCTCAGTAATCCAGATACGTTTGAATGATGTGTTTTGCTAACGGTAGTTAGCCTGGTCACTGAGCACAACAATGAACAAATCCCACTAATTATCCAACTTGGAACTGGAACACAGTTGAATCAAATTTGATGTCATTTCAAGAACTGATTTTAAAATTCTGCAGTAAATAGAACAAAACATTTCCCCCTTTAAACATGTCTATTAACCCCTCTGCCCATACAACCACTACAGACATTTACCAGTATACTGAACTTCAGAAATCTACATTTTAACATAAATCCGTAGTACTCTCACACAATAAAACAGTGGGGGATGATAATATTTGCAGCGGTGCGCGCCGACGCAAGGTGGAAGTGTGTTGGCGGTATTATTCAGTACTATTCAAATCTTGTCTAAATCATATGTGATTGGAGGGAACTACTTTTTCTTCTGCTCGAGTGATGCATCAGCGCAGTGGCCTTTGCTCAGTCAGTCACTCAGTCTGTAGAAGTACGGCAGGTCTTTTAAACACAAAATCGCCTTCTTCTGACTGTCTGTTGTTACATTCTAGATGAGGGGTTCCCAAAAATTTTTCATGCCATGTCCCCCCAAACAGCATTAGATCTGGCCAGGGACCTTCTTGCAAACCCACAAAAAAATGCTACAAAATGCACAAAGTAACTTTTTTTTTTCTCACTTTCATTCACTATTCAGAAATTATTATATTTCTTTAGAATATGAATTTTAAATTGTGCTAAACAAATATAAGGGTTAGGGTTAGAAAGACTTAAACGAATAAATAAATTACTTTGTGGTTATTTGAAAAATGCTACTTTTTAAAATTTACCAAACACATTATGTGTGTTATCATGAAGTATCAGTATTGGATCAGTATTGTTAATACCAGACACATTTTACTCAGTATCAGTATCRGAAAGGAAATTGGCAGTATATGTTTACATAAAATAATTCAGAATAACGTGACCATACATATGCTGTATATTTTATAAGTAAAACATAGCTGATACATTGTCAAAATATAATTTTCCTTCACAATAAAAAATGTAACACCAAGGTAACGAGGTAGCACATGTGTATACRTCATCCGAAGAGTACCGTCTCATTTCATTTTAGTTTCATGTAGTGTACCCAGACTACGTAGGCTGTGGTCTAGGTAGGCTGCAGTCCCTGCATTGAGATACATCCTTTTCATCTGTATACAAGAAAATGGTGGAAAATCTGTGTGATTTATTGATTATTTGACATTTTGTACAACTTGACATGTATGTTTGCCAAAACCTCTGCAATTTCTCCCAGGGCTCCAAAGTCAACATCAATCAATCATTTCATGACAGAAAGGTGTAACGTGTTTTTAATAAGCTCCTGTATTTCTGCAAATATTCTGACTTTAGTGCTTTTGCTTGAACAACATCAGCCCACATGGATTGGTACATCATGTCAAACAGATTAAACGAATCCAGGCTCAGTTGGGAGATGCTTCGAACGTGTTGTAAATGTCACTGTGACRTCTTTTCTTTTCTCTCGTGTTTCCTCTGAAAGAGTCACAGCTCTGAGCTTGGACGACGGACGACAGTTGACGTGCCGCGCCAAGAATGTGGCCGCTCCCCAGCCCGTGGTGACCACGACGACCATGAATGTGTATTGTGAGCGTCTCGGCTTCTTTCATTTCAAAATGCACATAACTGCACAGGAAGCCCATTGTCCTCAGGGAGGCCCAGAGGGTTTCCTGTCTTCTGCTCTGTTTGTGTTTGTGGTCCCAAGAAAAACATTCAACTTGAAGGCAAAGTTGCACCTATTCAAAAAATAAATAAACAAAGAAGAAAAAATAGTTCAAGAGGGCCAACCTTGTGAGTTTTTACAGGAATTTACATTAATATGGCACAGGATTTTTTTTTTTTTCATGGCAAATCTTTAAGGCAGGGTTATTCAACTAAACTGCTCCGGGGGCCACAGTTACTGCAGGTCAACAGCTCAGGGGTTGGACATCCAGCAATTAAATTTATTATGTAAATAAACCAAGTATTACAAAGATCTGTTACCTTAATAGTTTTTTTGCTGCATTTAATCATGATTACAACATACAGAACCCTGTAAAAGTAGTGTCAAATAAAAAATATCAAAAACAAAAAGAACACATAACCCTTATTTGACGCAAATATAATTTTGACATCTCTGACTTGCCAAATTTTTAAACCAATTTTATTTTCACTTTCATAGTTTTATCTTCAACTGCTTGTCATTTTAACTGTCTTTRGWGTGCATAGAAAAGATTTTTATCAACTTGTAGCCAAGATTCTGATGGTTCTGTAGATACCAAACATGTCTATGTCTAACTAAAACAACTTAAAGTAATTAAAGTAGAAAACTGGTGTTTTGAGCTTAAGAGATGAATGAAACAATTGGCGGGCCGAGTTTTGGTCACTCGCGGGCTGGATGTGGCCCGCGGGCCGCCACTTAGATAGCCCTGATTTAAGGTTTGTGTGTGGGGGGGTATGTATTTTCCAGGCATATAGTTCAGTTCTACACTACAATCAAGTAACTATTTTACCTTCAGTTGTTATGAAAATGTTGGCTATGTTAAAAATAAATTGGACTTTGCATCACATGTCTAAATGCTTTTTCATGTCAAACGTTCTATTTTATAAAACTTAAATTAGTTTTCTTTTAATTATCCTAAAATCATCTAAATTACTATTGCCTCAATGTTAACCTAAATACCCAAAACAATTATTAGACAAACTGATGGACTAAACCCACAAATGCCTTCTGCTGGAAAACGCTTTTAACGATATTATAACTAACAGGCTATTGRAAACTGAGACCACCTCAGTTCTAATCCTGCATAACTAGCCCAGAAACAATCATGTTCATTAACTCAAATTACATTTTTAATGCACGGAGGAAGGAAATGGCAGTTTCTCTTGATTTTATTTTCTTTCATATTTTTCACWCTATATGTGACTGTTTGTTTATAATGAAATTTCTGCAACATCAGAAAAAAGTTAGCTGGCACAAAAACTGTCACTTCTTGTTCTTCTTTTGCTTTTAAAGTCCTTTCTTTAATTTGGCAATGCAGCTGTGAAAGTTTCTTTATTTTTTTTCCAGTGTGGTTGATTGTTAAGATTTTTCCTTCAGTTTCTCCTTGAAAGCGTCTCTATCTGGCTTTTGGGTGAAGCAGGTCTGTTGACACAACTTTCAGCTCAGCCGCAGCCGGTTCATCTGAATCCCAGCTTCTCCACATTCAATCAAACCATTGCTTTAACAGTAAGCTCTGACTGCGAGCAGTCCTTCCCTTCCTCTCCGGCTCCGTATCAAACACTCTGCTAAAGTGCTAATGGTGCAGAAGCGGGGACCACCGCTGCTGGATGACTGACTCTGTGTGCCAGCCCATCAAAGCCGGCACGGTGGCTGTTTTCAGGCAGCCGGATTATTAGCAAGGTGGCAGTTTTTTCATGCTGGCCCCGGGTCTGCAGTCTGCTCCCTGAAAACGGATTGCAGCAATAACAAAGAGCCATCCTCTGCTAATTTATTTTACTGCATATATTTTATTCAAGGAGACTGTAATTTATTCATATTTCGCGGTGCCTTATTACTGTTTCAACATCTGTTAGTTTGCTTTATGGACTGGATTCAGCTCAATGCTCCCTTAATAGTTAATTCTTTCATCAGATCTGGACCTTTTTACCCACATTCATGTTGAATGGGACCAGTTTATTATCACTGTCTCAACACTTGATCACTCCCTGTACAACAGTTCTGACTGCTGATTTTGACAAGCACTCACTTTTTTTTCTTAGTATCTAGTTTATCTGTGTTTTTAAACTTTAGTTTTTTTCTTGCCATTTCTTAAACCAATTCACCTTCACTATTATTGTTTTATTTTTTCCTGACAGATCCACCTGAGCCTCCTTACATTTCAGGCCTGGATAGAGATGGAGTCAGTGCGGGGACACTACTCGTGTTGGAGTGTGTGTCTTTTGGTGGAAACCCTCGAGCCACTCTCCAGTGGACAAAGGTCATTTCTCTACACCGTCTGAAAGAAAACAACATAGTTTTAGGTTGAAAGTGGAAGTTTGTTTTGTGGAAAAGATTATGAAAAATCAGTATCTTACCTGTAATAGATATGGCTTTCATCAATTGTTTTGTTGAGAATAGCGTGATTTTAAGTATCCCACCAAGGTTATAATAGTTTTGGATTTTTCATTATAGTTTACTTTTATTTCATTGTGACTTTTTTCTTTTAATTCAGTTAGTTTTAATTAGTTTTTACTGTGGATTTGCTAGTTTTTATTAGTTATTACTGCCTTTTTTAATGCTTAGATTTAGTTTATTTTTAATTAGTTCTAGTTTTAGTTTTTTTATAGTTTAAATAAACATATTTGCCAATGCATCATCAAGCTTGTAATGTTCCTGGGAGTTAACTAACCAACAGCTATTTGGTCGCTAGTAAAAGCCTCCATTATAGAGACACCTTCGTAAAATAATTGTACAACTCAATTTTGCCAATCAAGTACTTACGGTGATTATTTTAGGACAATGACAATAGTTGTCTCCAAATTGTTGCTACCTGTTTGTTTTTCAGGGAAGCTACTGAGAGAAGCTAGCGTGTCAAGCTAGTCATAGTTAGCCATCTTGTGTGCACTTGATTCATGCAGTTTTTCCCTTGAGAAGCATTACACTTATTTTATCACCTATATACACCGCTTCTTGCAGTCATGTTCAAAGAAATCCCAAAGTGGACATTGTCGTTTTCTCCCAAGTTTTGTTGTCGTCATTTGGCAGACAAAGCTGAGCAGCAGCAGTAAACAAGTGTTGTTACAGACCATGAGGTGCCATAACAGCTAATGTGAAAAAACACTAAAACTAAGGATATTCTATCCATAATTTCAGTTAGTTTTAGTTAGTTTTGTAAAAGATTATACAGTTTTAGTTGTTGTTTTTTACATTTTGTTACACTTTTTATTTATTTTAGTTAACTAAAATGTTTGTTCAATTTCAGTTTTTGTTATTTAGTTTGAGTTTACTATCCCACACCATTCTTTTTATTCAACTCATAAATAAGTAAGCTTTGCAGRACGTGATAAAATGTCAAATGTTCTTCTGCTGTTTGATTTTTATGTCTTTTTTTTTCATCTTTCAGAATGACGAAGTCTTATCCAAGACTTATGACATCATAAATAAGATGTCMAAAAGTGTCCTAAAACTGAAAATCACCCCTGAGGTCAACCAGGTGGAGCTTTGCTGTGAAAGCGCCAACACGATCTTCCCAACTCCTCAGTCCGTCAGCCGCAGACTAAYTGTGTTCTGTAGGTCCAAAGCAAATATCGAATGTTTCCCACGGTGCTGAAACACACACCTACAGACTCAAAGCACTGGTACATTGTAAAAAATAACTTGTAAGATTTACTAGAGAAAATCCTGTAAATCATTTGCACTAACATTTGGTAAGTAAATGTAAATGCTACAAATTCATGTAATATTTACTCTCATCATTATCTAGTAAAAGTTATTAAGGATATAGTTAAATATTTGTGAATAAATCAGATAAATTTTACTTAATTTGCTCAATTAAATCTTTTAACATATACTTGATCAAATTAAGTAAAATTTACCTGATTTAT